ATCACTGCTATAATAATTTCTAAACTTTCCATTAAATATTTCCAGCAGCTCTTGTTCTTGCCAAAAGTCCCTCCATTTTACTGTCAGTGATCAAATTAGCATCAGTTTCAAGCGCACAGAGTTAAGATAATACTGAGGACCTCGATTATAATATTTTATGAACTTCTAATTTGGCCTGGTTCAACAGCTCTCTGAGGTAGAAAATACAATAGCTAAAAGCAGAAACAGAACTAATTACTTATTTCAGAATTAATAAGTTGTGGCACAGACTGTGAGTCATTTCCTTGCTGAAGCAATTTTATTTTCACTCATCAGATTTGCTCATGGAGTAATTATCTTGAAGACAGGAGAAGGCAGGGAGTTTTTTTCCCAGACCAAATTTAAAGAGACATTAATATCTTGTAAGAGCACATCCCAGATGATTCACTGATAGCCTATTACAAGCATTTACAGAATGGAGTTTGTGTAACACCACCATAGCTAACAAACTACATCATGACAGAGGAAAAGAAAACGAGGAAATATTTATTGACATGGTATGTGCATCATATAATATCTTAATATAGCAAAGGATTGCATTTATTTTCCCAAACAAGTTGGCATTTTTGTGCAGTTAAAAATATTATAAAACCACATTTTTTGAAGTTTGCTGTCAGTCTTTAGAAAGTTAAGAACATTAAAGAATCACCAAAGCTACCTCTGGAGGTTTTTAACCTAAATGCTTTCTCACCCTTGGAGCAAAAGGCTGGTGCAACAGGGGCTCAAATATACTTCCAAATCCTTTGAGATTAGTGTGCAATTTTAAGCTTTCAATTTAATAATACTCTTTTTTTGGTTCTTTTTTTCCCGTCATTCATTCTTTAATCCAGGAATTTGTAGATGGAAGTATCTGCAGTATTCCATGCTCTAAAATTAGAAGCAGTTGATAAAATTTCTACAAAGATACCAAACACAAACAGAAGGTGAAGGTATTTGAAAGAAATTTATTGGCTAGAATTTGTAGGTACATGCATAAAATGGAGCTAACATTTAAATGCTCTAAGTCTGAGATTTTTTTGGTTGACTGATGGGTTGTGGGGTTTTGTGGCTTGTTTGTTTGTTTGTTTGTTTTCCTAATGGGGAACAGCCTTTACTGGAATCCCAATAAAATGTCAGGTTTGAGAAACTTTCAAGTGAAAGAAACTCCCTTCACTCACTACACTCTTGGTGACCCAGTGTGCTGGGAGGTTCATGCTGCCAGGCCTTTCAGCCAGGACATGGATCTGTTGCTTCCCAAGGACCCTGGCAAAACACAAGCATAATCCTATGATTTTGGGCAGGGATTGTAGATTACGGTCAAACCCCCTGCCTACTAGTGGTCTCTGCTAGAACCTGAGCCTCTCACAGCCCTTTCCTTGGTGCTGTTGGTTGGGAAGAACAGCCTCATCTTTAACAGCAAAAGGAGATTGTTCATGTAACTTGTGATTTTTTACATCTAAATTTATACTGTTATGCCTTTACCAGCTGCCTACTCTTCCTTACAATAGGTCCCTCTGCTACCTCACAGCCATTTAATCTGTTACTTTCCACACTTTTTTTATCCCTTGCATACCACCTCCATCTTCCTAGTCTTCAGTACCACCTACTTCTCTTGCTCTTTCTTTCTGTACTAATTCCTGTCTGCTGCCAGGTCATCCTTTATCAGCAGAATAGGAGGAACTCCCCAGCTGCTCCTCTCCTCCACATGTAGAGGAAATATTTTTTTACTTAAACTGTAATCTGTGCTGATTCATACTCCATAAAGACTCGTAAATCTGAAAAAATTTGAATGCTAAATTATAAACTGTGTCAAGGAGTTTATTTAAGCAATTTTTAAAGCATCAGGTACTTTATACCTTGTATAACAGAAATAATTTTGCTACCTAACATTGTATTTTCCTTTTATTAAGGTAATACGAACTTCGGCTTAATTTTTCACATTGCAGATATGACTTCCATCATATGTCTCAGAGCACCAAAGTCAATGCATGCACAAATGCCTTCCAGAAGCTGGTCTGGGCATATTAACAGTTTGTACATGAGGTTTATCTTTGGCCCAGGAGAAATTTACTGGTTAACTTTGCAGGTTGCCAGTAGCCCCCTAGCAGAAAAGGGATTTGACTGAGTTTCTTTTTAACTAAAGCCAGGAAAAGACTTAAAGAAAAAGATCTACTAAAGCAACTCTTACGGAAAAGCAATAGTACTGATGAAAACAACGTATAGGCCAGTACTTGAAAGAGGGAAAAATCCTCTGGGGAAACATCACAAGCACTCTGTCCCCTTCTGGGCTGGGAACCAAGCTTTGGTGCTGATGTCGTAGACAACAGCAGATCTGATCTGCTAAGAACAGCCCCTCCTTGTATTTTCTCATTGATAACTAGACATAGACTGCAGGTTTTTTAAGGAAATCTGAGATAATCATGGCTCAGATATTCTTGTCCCATTTGCAGTGGCTGGTACCAAGAACTCCACACAGACATTGACTTCTTGGGGCTATGTGTAAGTACTTGACTTATGAACTACTTCAGAAATCCCTGTAGTAATCAGTCACAATGCCTCCATAAAACATTTCCTTCTCTGTTAGGCCAGGTAGCAGACTGAAATGTTGCCCAGTATGTAGGTACAACAGGAATAACATATTGTCCGTATCTTCTTGTGCCTGCCTGCCTGCCCTTGCCTGAAGGCACCGTCACAGTCAAAACAGCACATGCTCTACAAGCCCATGTATTTGCCTGTGTTTGTGCATGTGCACTCAGACACAGAGACTTGAATGCAGATACAGTCTGATTATTTTTTATGTTGCTCTGGCCAGCCTCTTTAATGAAATGAGGCACTATGCATTGAATATTTATCCTCTGAGGACAAAACATTTATTGTCAGCCTGGTATGAGAACTTCAGGTTGTGTCTGAGGTATTTACCATGTCTGATTATTATAAGACAATTTGAAAGTTGACATCAACATTTTTCATTCTTATCTTGTCCCTGATTCCCAGACTAATAAAGAAATAGATTATATTTCTGCTCCTAAGGAGTACACCCAAATAAGACTCACAAAAACAAAGAATTTACTAAGCTACCTTATCAGTTTTGGACCCAAATCAACAATGTAACAAAACCCATGGACCTAGGTTGACTCATATTGGATTAACAACGTGGTACCTTATTTGTCACAGTGACTATGGAAGAAGGCACTTAAGAAAAACATTACAGAGCCGATTAAAGAATATTGTAGGTCTGTTGCATAGAGCAAAAGTATTACATACTGGACTGAGGTGATTTAAAATTACTGTCAGCGGAGCCATATGTCTTAATAGAGATAACAACAATAAAAATAATCTTAAAATCTTAGACATTAATTTCTAAACTTTAAAAATTATTATTAGTTTTCTGCAAACAATCACACAAAATTATTTTAAAAAAAAAGAAAAAGAGTAAAGTGTTCCCCCTAAAGGCTTACTTTAAAAGAAATAGTGAGATCTCTTCCAATTAATAAAATATTGTTAGAGTTATGGTATGGAAGCAGGTCTTAAATTTTTATGCTTTGGCAATAATATGACAAAGTTGCCTGAATGTTCAAAGTATCAGGCTTTATACTTTCAATCACCTACAAAAAAGTGGATTATTAAAAATTATATTATTTCATCAAAAACCATTATAAGCATATTTTAAAGACACCAACAAACAAATAGTATTTTAAAATCTTGTTATATTTTTTCTTCCACACAGGAAGAAAATGCATTTTGGTCAGCATAAAGTTATGATCAAAAAATTGAAATATTGTGGAGGTGAATAATCTTAAAAGTATGGAAACCCAAAGGATACAATCAGAAATACACAGCATAATTTTCTGTTATTAGATTGTCGCACCATAACAATCCTGTGTACTTCAAAGTCTTGATATAAAATAAAAGATACAGACTTCTGTAGCAATCAAAACAATTTCTAAAAAGGTGATTCGTGTTTAAAGGTGTGTGAAAGTCAAGCTCACTTTGTGTTTTCATTAAATATATGGTTCAGCAAACATATTGAACCAAATTATTTGCTAACTACTGCTGTTGCTACCTAGCAAGGTATCTGTTATAATGTACAGGATAGTTCTTCTACCGCTCAGAAGGTCATGTATCTTAGCTGGGAGAAATTTTTAGTTTAACCTTATAACTCATGTTGAGGTGCAGTCTGAATATGACAAGATTAAAACTACACATTTTGCAAAAACTGAAATACTGCTTTCCAGCTCCCAGTCTAACACATGCTATCCTATCTATGAAGCTGAACTCTTATAAAAGTATTCTATAAAAACTGCAAAAATGATTAGCACCCAAAATAATCTATCATCGCCTCTGGAGCTCTAAATGATTGTCAAATAGCCACTTCAGAAGTCAGTGACTTCTCCCAGTGTTAAAGCTAAACATTTGACTAGAAACTAAACCTACAGCTTTCCAGATTCTGATTGGAATGTAAATGCATGTGCTTAAGACTTCTATAGCTTCTAAAAGGAGATTTAGAGGCATTAAATTATGTCCTGACATTTTTTCTTCTTCCTCCAAACATGGAAACTTCTATGTTCATTAATTTCTTGTCACTGTTTTTACTGAGCAATGAAGTGAAACTTCTCTTTAAGGTCCAACCCTCAGCTACAGAATTTGGGATTTCCATGGAATTGTTCCTGCAGCAAGCAGAGGATGAAGTTTTCCAAACAAACAGGCATGAACTAGACTGCTGCTTCTCAACATGGAGCTATGGTCTTTAAGAAAATACCAAAATAATGCCTCGGTATCATGCCATTCTCTGGATCATTCTGCACTAACGGTAATGTGCGGTACGTACAACTTGCATTCAAAGAATGGGAACAGAACCCTGAGAAAAGCAAAACCATTGGAAAAATAGATATTGTTTAATAGCACCAGTTTGAGATGTTTCAATCCTTCCCTTTGGGGGGAAAAAAAACCAACACAAAAAAAACCAGGTGTAGCAATTTTTTTTCTGACATGAACGATTGGAATTTATCAGAATCGCAAACATAAATACAGTTTGGGATTTTAAGTGCATATCTAGGGTTGATTACAATTAGAAATACTTTGTTTGACAATCCTACCCATCCCCCAGCAATTCAGCATTCCTCAAGTCACCATAACATTACTTGTGAGCTTTGAGTTCAAGAACATCCTGACATGGAGTGATGTTCTTCCAGTAACTGCTGCAGCAGACTTTCACTCTGTGGTAATACGGGTGGTAGTGAGCCAGGTTCAGCTCTCTTCAGCCTTGCGTGCAATTCTCCTCATTCCCATGTATCCAGAAGCAAATTTGGGCATATTTGAGAGGGGTAATTCTTACTGCTACATTGTAATCCTGCTGTTCACCATTGACATCCACCCACTGATGGCCTGAGTAAACAGCGATGATCTTGCGTTTCCACTTCTTTTTGTTTGGTTCCTTAAGGCGGAGATAGATGCCAGACCCGGTGGAGCCAGGCTCAGCATCACAGTACTGGTAAAAGAGATCATTGGACTCATCAGAAATGCTACAAAATCTATAGACCAGCTGCCCAGATCGATCATTGTCAAAACCTGAGAAGTGGATCATGCTTCCAGGCATCATTTTGATCGTTGGGCTGATTCCCAGCTCCATGTATTTTCTTTTATGGGGACGCTTGAGCTCAAGAACAGCGTAATCATAATCCAGGGCGACATCCCCAGAAACACCCTTAAACCAGCCTTTTGGGATGTGGGTACTCTTCACCCTGGTCCACTGAAAGGAAGGCATGCTGTCTGAGGTCCCCTGCTTCCTCCCAGATCTCCTCTGCTTTCTCCCACCGCCTCTGGATTGTCGCCTTAGCTCTGTGGCAACTTCAGGATCTTCTTGGGCTGCAGAAACTTCTCTCCTACTTCTCCTAGCACCTTTGCGTTTCCTGCCATCGCCTCTGGATTTCGTCTTCATCAGGCCCACCCTCAGTCTTTTGCTGCCCTTGACATAATCCTTGCCGTTGTGCAGACAGTGGGCAGCTGTTAGCACGTGCTTGGGGGAAATGAGAATACCACTGCAGCCGGTGGAGATCTTCACAGCTGTGTTGAACGGAAAGTTGGTCATAAACCGCTTGTCATAGATGCTGAACCTACTGTCTGTTCCATAGATCTGCCTCTTCTTTCTCAAAGACCTTTGTGTGGTGATGTTTCTGGCTGGGTCAAGCACTAGTCCGAGGACGTTCACTTCAGTCAGGGTCCGTGTGCCATTTTCAAAAACAGTCTCATAGGATAAGAGGTCCTTCAAGTCAGACAAGCTTGGCACCGGCAATTTTCTTTGACATTCAATTCCACATACACTGTTCAGCTCCAAGTTGGCTTTTGCTTTGAATTTAGGGCTCTCGAGGGAGAAAGTTCTTTCGCTCACAATCTGGGGAATCTTCTTTAAGTGCCAAGTAAAATCTTGCTCAGTTTCTGTTCCATTAGTGAGACCCAATATAGGTATGAAAAATACGAATAGCAGTAACATGTGCTCCATTTTATCTATTTTTTTTTTTCTAAAACAAGAAAGAGAGATTTGAAAACACATTTTGGAAATATACATAGTTATCTTAGTATCTTAAAAGTACAATCATGCAATATTAGCACTGACATCAGTGGAACAGAATTTAACACTGCTCAGAATGGAAATGCCTCAGATACTCCCTGTATTATTTCTGATGCTTCCAGTGGTCTCTAGCAAGATAGGTGCAGATGAGCCAGCCAGCATCCTACCTACTGACAGCTGGAAACAGCTGACTTTTACCTGCTTTTCCTTCAGTGGGGTAGTAGTCTGAGTCATTCCACTCTGTACAGCACCTTGGTTTATTTATCCCATAGGAATGCGATTCGGTTTTATGCTTCTGCTTCTCTATAGCTACAGGTTGTAGGTAGAACATGGTTGAAAACCACCAAGGTATTCAAAGGACACATTCAAAAGTTGGGATTCAGGCAGAGATGGACAGACTATGCTCATGAGACTTAGGAACCCTTGGGAAACCAGATCAATTGTGCTCTTTTATGTAATGGGCAAAAAGCAGCAGCTTTAAGTGACCAAAGTCACCAATAGTTCTGCATTACCCACCCAGCTAAGACCTCTGAAGCTGCCTGCTATGGAAAGTGGCACTTTGCTAGTTGCTCTCCCAAAGAACCAACTTAGAAAGATATCTTTCCGCTCTCAAAGTTTATGTCGTGTGGGTGTGAGCAATTTGGGTACCTAAACAAGGCAGCAAGTCCCATTTTAGATGCTTTCAGCTTCTTCTGCTCAGGAAGTCATGGGTCTCCTGCAGATGCTATGTTGTATCTTCCTGTGCACCATGGTCACTAAAACCTCATTCATTTCCTCTGCATGGGTATCTCTATCTCTTTCAGAATGTCAGAGAATTTCTAAGTCCAAGGTTGGAGGGGGCAGGTGAGTGAGAAAAGAAGTGTACTGGTCTAGAGGAGTATCCTGGTTATATACATGCAGGAAAGCCCAGCTAAGTAGGAGGGACAAGCCTGCTGACTCATCACACGCTTTTTTCCTGCAGGATCCCACAAAGGCTGCAGGAGCTGTGTCGTCTGTGCCTTATGGTCACATGTGGAAAGCCCCACCTAGATGGGGTGATGCACTACACAAAGAGTTAATACTTCAAATGGGAAAGACAAAAAGCAGTATTATTCCCATCTGTAGTTGGGAAATATGCAGAAATAATGTAAAATTGTTAGAAGTCTGCGGCAGAGCCAGAAACAGAATGCAGGAGCCGTGATTCTGAGCTCAAAACATTACTGAAAAGACCATTTTTGTCCTTTGGCAGCAGTGATGTCAGTGGCATTAATCAACTACTGGCTGCTGCCATTGGGAAAACTGCACTCCGTTCTCATATCCTCCACTCCAATTATATGGAAACCTCAGCCGTGCAGGAAGAAAGAGCCTATGATTACACTTTTAAATCCAAGAAATTCAAGGATATGCATGTGGTTGAGCTTTCTGGTTTACGTTGTAATTGCTGTGTAAACCAGGGCAAGGATAACCACTTTCCTTTTCTTGAGTTTAGTTTAGAATGAGTACTGCTATCAAGTGAAACAGCCTGGTTACAAGCTAGCTAAAGATCTAGCATGAAAAAGAGGGGAGTGCAACATGGAAAAAGAAGCAGTAACGCCACTTTAAAAGCTGAATAATGGATCAATGACATATAATTTTGAGGCATCTTTACCATGTAGACAGAGTTCTTGTCTGTAAGAAGTAGTAATTACCACTTTTTAGCTAACTAAGCGCTATGGTTCAAACACAGCTTGTTACTTCTGATGCCAGACTCAGAGGGAGGGGTTTTTTTAGCATAGATTTTGATGCTTTTCACCTTCACCAGCATGGAACACCAGTTTTGACCCAGAGTTTACTTTACTAGGACATACATAAACAACATTTTATGATACAGTATAAAGCTATCCACCCTTTAAAGTAGCTAACTCAGGTTTTGGAGACATGTGGGCTTTCATAAGACATCTGGAGATTATAGTGACGCACAGACCTAAGCTCTGGGGTGTATGCAGTCATACTAAAAGATATCGGAAAGTTTTGGAAGCAGAGCACAGTCATCCCAGGTGCACGATTTAGCAGAGGGACATGAGCTGAGCATCAGCCCAGATTACTGCTATAGCAGAAACACACATATTTAAACATTATTTTTTATATACAAAGTTTCTGACCAAATGTCCACTTCTCCTAAAATCCCATTTCTGACACTGGCCAAATGTGGATGCCTAGGGTAGAGCACAAGAATAAGGCAACCATGTATGTCCCTCCTCCATCACAGGATCTTAGCTTACAACCAGTTACACCTCAAGGACTTTAAACCAGAGGTGGTTTCTGTAGTGTTAGGAAACCGCAGTGGCTTTCTCTTCCATAGTTGCCTGTTTTTTCCTTGAACCCATTACAAAATTTTGCACCCACAACGTTCTACATCAACTAATTCACAGCTTGACTACATGTTGTATGAGGAAGCATCACCTTTCTTTTATTTTCAGCCTGTTACAAACTAACATGGTTTGATGACAAATAATGTGATATTAATGCAGAAAAGCTGGTTTTAATTTGCTTTGTTCTAATATGGCTACTGAACAGATACAAGGTATTAAGAAACCCAATTCTTCTGTCAGGCTCAAGAATTTCTATGTTCTTTCCTAGAATACTCCTCCCTTTCTAGCCCTTCCTCATGGTCTGGGTATTTGATATTCCTCTGTAGCTGAATTTTGTAAGCCCTAAGGAAAGTTCACTCACTAACTGCTAATTCATATAGAAGCTCTTGGAGGTGTCTGGGTTGATGGCATCCCACTGCAAGGCTGAAGACTTCCCAGTTGGACCCACAACTAACATTGCTTTATAGGGAGCCTTTCTGCAAGCAAATGTGTGGAGTACTATAGCTCCCTTCCACCACTCCTTAGAAAGAAAAAAACCCCATAATACAGAACCCTCAGTAGAGGCACTGGAGCCTCCCATTTGAAATACTATACTTGAGTGCTCACTACTTACAAAGGCAGTCTTGGAAGCCAAGATTTTATAGTTTATAATGAACCGCTTGTTACTCATAATGTACTAACTACAATTCAGCAGAGCTGGAAGAAGTCCAAGCTGAGGAACTTGATAAAAATGGTAATTCTCATTACAAACCAGAGCAGTGGTCCTATTAGGCAGCATTGTCATTTACAGCTATGCACTTAAGCTCTGTTTACTAACCTCATCTCTACTGTCTAAGTAAGGCCAACTTCAAACACAGGCAACATCAGTGGCTGCCATTGTCCTGTACAGGTTGCCAGCAAGAGGGTTCTTCTTGCCAGAAGATAGGGACAGAAATGTGTAGACAGCTGCAAAGACACCTTTGCAGGGTGTCAGAAGGGGAGAGAGCATACAGCCTCCAGAGGAAGGAGCCCTGAGAAGGTTTGTAAGCTGGATGCAAAAAAACCCACCCTCAACATGTTGCTCACACTTTCTGCCACGCTGTTCTCTGCTCTTCCTCCAAAACCCAAGCTGCTCTGCCTTCTCCTTTCCTTCACTCCTTTCCCATGCAAATTTTGGGTTGGCTTACAGTAATTAGAAGCCTTGAGACAGCTCTGTCTTTACAGTAGGATGGACTGCTTCAGGGAAGACATAAGATGGAAAATAGAAAGTGAGAGAGAGAGATCCCCAGCTCCATGAAAATATTGAAATTCTTCCTTCAGTTTCCAACCCAGCTGGTAACAGCGAGGACTCCCTGTTTGGTGGCATTCCAGCTGCCAGGCATATGCATGCAATTAAAAGTTCTCACTTCTTGCTTCCAAATCAAATCTTTCTGTATTCACAGGACAAAACCTACCCATGTCCTAATTTTTCAGAATATCCTTCAAATATTTTTTTCAGTATAACCTTACTCCAGTAAAACGCATCTCAAATGCTCAGGGGAAGGCCTGTGGTCAAGAAGAACTTGAATACCTTTCTCTTCAGACTACCCAAAATTAATTTGCATGTCAGTGTAGCTCAGACAGAAGAAAAGTTGTCTCCAGACACCTGGCAGCGTTTTATCTTGGTCTGTTCAGTGTAGCCTCTGCTCTGGGGGTTCCTTCTTACTGTAGGAAAGTCAGCACATTTCAAACTAAGCTTTCGTAATTTTAAATGCAATTTTCAGACCATAAAATATTAAAGGCTGTTACACTAACCAGCTCCATTAACTGCTTTTGGCCTTATTCTTGAAATGGCCTGAAAGCTGGAATTCACAGCTCTACTCTCACAAAGCAAAACAGACAACAAATTTTGGAAATCTCATGGATGGAAGAAACCATCACCCTAACCTTATCCGCCACTGCCC